AATATTCCAAAGATTTGAGCAGGAAAAAACAAAGCAATTACTACTTTCAATCTCGACTAAAATTTTTTCTGGATCAAGTATGAAAGAAACATTACAATATATTGCTAAAGAAATCTATCATAGATTACCATGTGAAAGAGTCATTATTATTTCAAATGAACAATCTGAATTTAAGAGTAATAATATAATTGCCTTATATGAAAGCTCGGAAAGTCAACCAATGGAAATTAGTGACAATAACGAGAGTGAGTCACAAGAATTCACTAATATAAAAGAATTTTTAAATAATAATTTTGGAATAGATATTTCTTTGAATGTATACTGTGATGATATTTGTAAAAATGTATCCATGTTATCTGTAGAAATAAGATTGAATGATGGTTGTTGGGGAAGGATAAAAGTACATAGATCTCCAAATTCTATTTGGCTCGATACTGAAATAGAGTTTTTACAACAAATCGCAAATCAAATAAGTTTATCTATTACTCATATAAATTTAGTAGAAGAGAATTTTGAAAAGGAGGTTCAAATAAAAGCTGCTGAAGTTGCAAATAATACTAAGAGTCAAATTTTAGCAAATACTTCTCATGGTATATTATTTTATTTCGTACATTCCAAAACTTTATCATATTAATTAATTTTAATTTCATAGAATTAAGAACACCATTAAACGCAATAACAGGAATTCTTTCTTCTTTTGAAGGTGCTGACTTAACTACTGATCAAAAAGACATGATTAGTATCATGACACGTGCTTCTGATGTAGTATTATCGATAGTAAATGATATTCTCGATGTAGCAAAATTAGAAGCACAAAAAATCGAACTTGTAAATAGAACATTTGATTTATTAGAATTATTTGACAACACTGTCGAGACATTTGGAGAAAAAGCAGGAAATAAAAAAATTGAATTGATTATAAATTATGATATAAATATGTTGCCGAGATATGTTAAGACTGATCCTGATAGGTGATTAACACTAATGCAACTTTTATAAAATAAATAAATACGTACTTATTCTTTTTTTTATATTAAACAGGCTGAAACAAGTTTTATCCCATTTATTATCAAATTCGTAATGACGTTTACATAATTATTCTCTACTTTTATTTATTTTTTTTGTTATAAACTAGTAATTCATTATTAATTTTTTAGGGTTAAATATACTGAAGAAGGTGAAATCGTACTGACAATTTCAATGTTGTCGAAAGAAGATAAAGAAAACAAAATGAGTTCAACTTGTGACAAAATGATTAAAAAAGGAATTCTGTTGATTGAATTACATGATACTGGCATTGGGTGAGCCAATTAGGATTACATATTTAATGTTTTAAGATGTATATTATCTAATTATTCATTTAATAATAATAGCATGAATCCTGAATATATACAACATGCCTGGAAAAGTTTTTCACGAGGTGATATGTCAATAACCAGGAAACAAGATGGTACAGGACTTGGTCTCTCAATTTGTAAAAGTTTAGTGGAAATTAATGGAGGAGAAATTAAAGCAGAAAGCCAATTGGGAGAAGGAAGTTCATTTTGGTTTACATGGAACATAGAAATTTTATCATTGATAACACCAACTATCTTATCGTCGATAACATCAACTATTTCAAAATTTCCAACTCAATTATTAGAGGCACAATTTGATAAGAAAATGCCTAATTTTATAAGAAACAAACGAATACTAATAATCCATCCTGTCAAAAATATGAGAAACGCAATGTTAACATATTTTAAAATTGTCGAAAAAGTTGATGCATTCGATACTTTTAACAAAGGCATTAAAGCTGCTCAAACATATAAAGAACTATATAATCAATCTGCTTATGACATAGCATTCATCGGTCTTTATGAAGATAAAGAAGAAGAGGTTATAAAAGCAGCATTAACATTAAAAGCATTAGATATGGGTAATAATAAATTATTTATAATTTTTATAGTATTTCCGAGTATTAAAGGTAATGAATTAGCAAAAAATTTAATTAGAAATCTTGGAGGAACTGTTTCTGTTATTTACACTCCAATTACACGGAAAAAGTTAATTAATCAATTTGTTCATCTGGAAAAAAACAATACAGTTTAACTTTATTTGTTTATAGATACGAATAGTATCTAGGTTGATTCAGATTTTTAAGATTAAGGGCGTTCTCAAACGCCTTAATCAATGGGTCAAAAAGAGTCGGTGAATAAATTTTACTTAGCGTAAAATATTTTAAGCGGGCCAAGTATGTTTGTAATTGTGATAAATATTTAAATAATAAATGTAATTTTTAAAGTCTATTACGTGAATAAAATATTTTATTAGTAAAAAAATTTTGTAAGTTTGTCATTTCAATTTATAAACTTTTTGCCACAAACCATCTTTTTTATATACCTGACTTGTAAAATTTTCAATTAATTGAGTATTCAAAAAGATCACTCAAGTTACTTTGTCATCATCAATGAATTATTTTTTTATTTTTACACTAAAGTTTTATGAACAATAAAAAAATACCAGAAAGCCCTAAAAAAACAAATATGAATGCTTATCATTTTTTGTTAGCAACAAATTTTAATATTTAGTCAATAATATTTATTTCATGCAACAATCAAATATCAATGAAGACTTAAACCTAGTGGCAACAATATTTGATAAATAATAAATCTCTCAAGTATTAATTGCAATTTTATTTTATTAAACAATTGCAGATTAACTAATACTATGCATAAATATATATATATGTAGTATTGATTAATTTGCAATTGTTTGATGTCCAACTTAATCACAAGTTTTTGACAGTTAAAATTTGTTGCTAACAAAAAATGATAAGCATTCATATTTGTTTTTTTAGGGCTTTCTGGTATTTTTTTATTGTTCATAAAACTTTAGTGTAAAAATAAAAAAATAATTCATTGATGATGACAAAGTAACTTGAGTGATCTTTTTGAATACTCAATTAATTGAAAATTTTACAAGTCAGGTATATAAAAAAGATGGTTTGTGGCAAAAAGTTTATAAATTGAAATGACAAACTTACAAAATTTTTTTACTAATAAAATATTTTATTCACGTAATAGACTTTAAAAATTACATTTATTATTTAAATATTTATCACAATTACAAACATACTTGGCCCGCTTAAAATATTTTACGCTAAGTAAAATTTATTCACCGACTCTTTTTGACCCATTGATTAAGGCGTTTGAGAACGCCCTTAATCTTAAAAATCTGAATCAACCTAGATACTATTCGTATCTATAAACAAATAAAGTTAAACTGTATTGTTTTTTTCCAGATGAACAAATTGATTAATTAACTTTTTCCGTGTAATTGGAGTGTAAATAACAGAAACAGTTCCTCCAAGATTTCTAATTAAATTTTTTGCTAATTCATTACCTTTAATACTCGGAAATACTATAAAAATTATAAATAATTTATTATTACCCATATCTAATGCTTTTAATGTTAATGCTGCTTTTATAACCTCTTCTTCTTTATCTTCATAAAGACCGATGAATGCTATGTCATAAGCAGATTGATTATATAGTTCTTTATATGTTTGAGCAGCTTTAATGCCTTTGTTAAAAGTATCGAATGCATCAACTTTTTCGACAATTTTAAAATATGTTAACATTGCGTTTCTCATATTTTTGACAGGATGGATTATTAGTATTCGTTTGTTTCTTATAAAATTAGGCATTTTCTTATCAAATTGTGCCTCTAATAATTGAGTTGGAAATTTTGAAATAGTTGATGTTATCGACGATAAGATAGTTGGTGTTATCAATGATAAAATTTCTATGTTCCATGTAAACCAAAATGAACTTCCTTCTCCCAATTGGCTTTCTGCTTTAATTTCTCCTCCATTAATTTCCACTAAACTTTTACAAATTGAGAGACCAAGTCCTGTACCATCTTGTTTCCTGGTTATTGACATATCACCTCGTGAAAAACTTTTCCAGGCATGTTGTATATATTCAGGATTCATGCTATTATTATTAAATGAATAATTAGATAATATACATCTTAAAACATTAAATATGTAATCCTAATTGGCTCACCCAATGCCAGTATCATGTAATTCAATCAACAGAATTCCTTTTTTAATCATTTTGTCACAAGTTGAACTCATTTTGTTTTCTTTATCTTCTTTCGACAACATTGAAATTGTCAGTACGATTTCACCTTCTTCAGTATATTTAACCCTAAAAAATTAATAATGAATTACTAGTTTATAACAAAAAAAATAAATAAAAGTAGAGAATAATTATGTAAACGTCATTACGAATTTGATAATAAATGGGATAAAACTTGTTTCAGCCTGTTTAATATAAAAAAAAGAATAAGTACGTATTTATTTATTTTATAAAAGTTGCATTAGTGTTAATCACCTATCAGGATCAGTCTTAACATATCTCGGCAACATATTTATATCATAATTTATAATCAATTCAATTTTTTTATTTCCTGCTTTTTCTCCAAATGTCTCGACAGTGTTGTCAAATAATTCTAATAAATCAAATGTTCTATTTACAAGTTCGATTTTTTGTGCTTCTAATTTTGCTACATCGAGAATATCATTTACTATCGATAATACTACATCAGAAGCACGTGTCATGATACTAATCATGTCTTTTTGATCAGTAGTTAAGTCAGCACCTTCAAAAGAAGAAAGAATTCCTGTTATTGCGTTTAATGGTGTTCTTAATTCTATGAAATTAAAATTAATTAATATGATAAAGTTTTGGAATGTACGAAATAAAATAATATACCATGAGAAGTATTTGCTAAAATTTGACTCTTAGTATTATTTGCAACTTCAGCAGCTTTTATTTGAACCTCCTTTTCAAAATTCTCTTCTACTAAATTTATATGAGTAATAGATAAACTTATTTGATTTGCGATTTGTTGTAAAAACTCTATTTCAGTATCGAGCCAAATAGAATTTGGAGATCTATGTACTTTTATCCTTCCCCAACAACCATCATTCAATCTTATTTCTACAGATAACATGGATACATTTTTACAAATATCATCACAGTATACATTCAAAGAAATATCTATTCCAAAATTATTATTTAAAAATTCTTTTATATTAGTGAATTCTTGTGACTCACTCTCGTTATTGTCACTAATTTCCATTGGTTGACTTTCCGAGCTTTCATATAAGGCAATTATATTATTACTCTTAAATTCAGATTGTTCATTTGAAATAATAATGACTCTTTCACATGGTAATCTATGATAGATTTCTTTAGCAATATATTGTAATGTTTCTTTCATACTTGATCCAGAAAAAATTTTAGTCGAGATTGAAAGTAGTAATTGCTTTGTTTTTTCCTGCTCAAATCTTTGGAATATT